AAAAAATTGGGAAAGGCTTGCATTATTACAATACTTTTATTGCAGTGATCTGAACCTGAACCCTCAATCTCTGAGGGTTAAGAAGAAGTGGAGACAAGTGCCACTGAACAGACTGATTTAGGGTTTCCTAATTACCTTTCCTGAGCGTTGAGGCTGTAAATCTCACTGGTCTTGAAATCTAGATGCTAAGTGTTTCATTTTTGAGGAAGGAGGCATTTCACTAACTGATGTTGCTTTATGCTTTGTTTTTCTAGACGTGATCCTCTACCTCAGAATGAGATACTGTCCCCGTTCCCTCTTGCTGTGATCCGACCAGGAGCTGAGGTGTCTGTGGGGATGCCTATGAACCACCTGAAAGCAGACTCTTCAGAGATGGACTCTGATATGTCACCCAGCTGCAGGCTCAGTGACTTGAGCCGAGGCGGGAGTTTGGAGAGTCGGAGTAGCAGTTCTCGGTCCAGAAGTTTCACTTTGGTGAGTGATGGATTCTTTGCTTTAATGCTTTCGTGTACTTTGGTTTGTTGGTTTTGATTTTTACTTCCCGTACCAACCCTTTTTAGGAGTATCTTACAAAGATTTTCTTGGAATGTTTGGGAATACTTGTTTTATGAAATGGCATCTTATTTTCTAATCATACTAAATTTTGCACGAAGACAGAGGATGGATTACCCACATGCCTGAAGACTCACATACACAGGGAGGGACATTACTGCCTTTCTGTTCAAATGACCAAATAGACAGAAATGTGTATTTCACAGGATAATACTAAATTCTCTTTAAAACAGTTAAAACAGATTTTTAACTCCGATACAAATATGAATGCCTTTTTATCTTTTTCTCTCAGAATCCGGACCTTTACATAGCATAAACCAGCTTTGGAAACTTTCACATGAAGAGTCTTCTGTTTGAAAAGACCTTTTTCACAAGTTTTTTTTTTGCCTGTCAGCATATCGGTCTTTCTAGAGAGATCTTGTATTCATAGGCGGAAGGAGAGGAGAAAATTAACCTTTGACCCTCACTAATAAGTGTAGTTGTTGTGAAGTGCCGTTGAGTCAGTTCCGACCCATAGCGACCCTGTGTAGAGTTTCCAAGGAGCAGCTGGTGAGCTTGAACTGCCGACCTAGCAGTTCAAACGGCTTTGCAGTCTGGCGCGTTAACCCACAGCGCCACACCAGGACTCCCCACTAGTAAATGGCATGTAGTTTATCTCAGCCCACCTTTCCTCAGTGAGAGCACCAATTTCCTTCAGATACACCAAGCCCTAAAAGTAACCCCAATTATGCTAACTATAAGAAAGACACATATAGAATGGGGGGACAGGTGGAATTTTATAGACTCTCTAGACAAAGATTTAAGGCCTCAGAAGCCCTATACAGGATGGCTATGAGTTGGAACCAACTCCACAGCACTTAGCAACAACAAATTTACATATTTTCTTTATTTACAATTTATCATCACTGTTGTTGCTAAGTGCCGTGGAGTAATTTCAGACTCAGCACGACCGTTTATAGGGTTTCTGAGGAGTGATTGGTGGGTTTGAACCACCGACCCAGTGCTTATCCTGTAGCACCACAGCAGGAATCTTTCTGTAAAAATTGTTACTGTTGTTGTTATATGCCGTCAAGGCAGTCCTGACTCATAACGAACCTGTATAGGGTTTCCAAGGAGCAGCTGGTAGGTTTGAACTGCCAACCTTGTGGTTTGCAATCCAGTACTTATCCTACAGCTCCACACCAGGAGTCCAGCCTAGGAAACCCTATGGTGTAGTTCTGTTCTGTTCCTTAAGGTTGCTCTGAGTCAGAATCAACTCAGTGACGAAGGGTCTTAGTTAAACATAGTTATACTCCATTCTGCCACCATCATCTCGTTTGGATCCATGTTTTCCCTTTTATATCTGTTTTTCTCTAATAAGTCTCTTCTAAATCATATATATTTTCTTTGAACACTAAAGATAGAAAAAGAAAAACATTCTCTTCCCCCAGTGTCACACAAATGTCTCACTTCTTCCAGTCTTCTATGAAGCAGGACTTAGAATTTCAATGAAAGAGTACCTATCACCTGCAGTTGTTTGCTCTCTAGTAAAATCTCAAAAGAATACTTTGATATATTTGACCTGTCTGTATTTTCTCCACAATACCCATAATTGTATGTAATAGAGGATGGTCATGGAAACAGCATTTTAAATTCCACTTTTATGAGGCTTGTAATTAGATGACATTCTTATGTTATGTGTTTGATTCCATAATCCTGACATATGTACTATTCCACTAATTACTATGTACTATTCCACATAATCCTGCCATATGTACTATGTATAGTTCTCAGTGTCTGATGGAGGCTGTGTCCCAGTGGTGTTCCATTAAAATATAAAAGTACAACTGCAATACAAGCTTACACTGGTTGACTATTTTCAAGCATTTTTCTTTATGGAAAAAATTTTTAACCAAATTTAGTTATCATCTATTATTCTTTCATAGTTGTGTGTTTTCATTAACTAGAATTGGAAAACTAAAAAAAAATGTTGCATTTTGTTTTAAATAACAGCTAAAGTTTTGTGTTTGTATTTTAAAACTCTATACTACTTGATTTTGGCAAAACACTATACTTATCAACCCAAGACTTCTTCAAAGAGTGAGTCATCTGCAATAGCACAAACATTTTAATTACATCCTTTACTTTTTGGACGTCTAAATTTAGAAAGGAGCAATGGATTTTTCTTTTCTAAGTCATTTTAGACCTCTAAGTCACTTTCATGTGACTTATCTCTTTAGACTGAAATCCAACCATAGCAGTGTCTCCATTTGTTGTTGTTGTTGTTGTTATGTGCTGTAGAGTCAGTTGAATGAATGGAATAGCTAGAACAGTACCAATTGCCCCAATCCTAGACTACGTAACCAAGAAAATAACCCTTGAATATAATTTTTGCTTTGAAATTTAGGAGGGACAGCTTTGCTATAAATACAACGTAGCACTTGACAAAGTTGGTGTATGGCTGTGGGACTTAGTACCTTGAGAAGGTGGTCTTAAAAGAAAAGTTTCAAGGATTCAAAGATATTCATAAAGGATAGCTCTTTAGGCTACTTTTAAAGGAAGTTTCTGGTGTTGGATTACCTATCCTCTTAATGTCTTGAGGTTAATGTCTTAGACAAGCCATTGTGACTACCATTGCCTGGGGGGGGGGGGGCGCTAAATGCTTTCTGAACCAATACTCTTCAATTCTTATTCCGAATATGCTCCTTAGGGATGTTCTGCTTTTCAGGCATACCAGAGCTTCCTGTAGAAAAATAATACGATTTGCTTAGTTGAAAAGAGTGGGAAGCTCTTGATACCCATAATGCTTCATGAATTTAATATGTCTGCTTCCTTCAGGGTGGGTTGGGAACATCCATTCCCAGCCCACAAGCATCTTCTTACTCATTTTTATCTCTAACTCTGATAAAACCAGTGATTTACATTCATTATTCAGTTACACAAGAATCCCATCATCAACCTGCAAATGTCAACCCCTGAGCTTCCCCTTCCTTCTCTAAAGCATTTGATGTCTCTTGGCCTCACCCATTAGTTATGGAATAAGAAGGTAGAACAAGTCCCAGTAAATGCTTTCTCCATGATTGGGCTAGATTGCAGTCTAAGTAGTAAACTAGCTCTTTGCTGTATGAATTCTAGGAGAATAGGTAGAATCATAAGAGGGGTAAAGGAGAAACAGACTAGTCATTAAATTAGTGGTCCTTTCGGTTCTGGCTTCTTACCCAGGTTGAATCAAGTACTGCCCTGGTCAAAACAGTTATTTTAAAACAAAACTAAATAACTTAAAAAGTTAAATTCAATAAACATTTAATAAATGCATCTATGCAAGAACAGGTCAGTAATGCAATACTAGCTGACTTGAGTCTTTTCTAGAGACAACACAGGATAGCCACGTGACACAGGTTATAAAAGATCTAGGTGCTGAAGATGTTTCTTTCTTAATCAATATCTCTTTATAATATTGCCAACTTAAAGAAATTTACGGTAGCCAAGGAGCCAAGCTGTAATCCATTAAAGTCATGATTCTTTAATTCTGCAATAAAATGATACTTATGATATCTCTTCTTTCATTGATTTTTGTGTATGTGTCTCTCCTTCCAAAATTACAGGTTAAGTTATTCATGATGGAAAGTTAGGGTAGTGACTAGTCAGAAATAACCATAGTCAGATCCTTACACTGAAACTGTGGGGGTGCGCCATGCGCACGTACAGTCTTATTGTGAAGCTGCCAAAGTAAACATGAGCATTGGGCTATGTAGGGAGGGGCTCTGGGGGTACAGTGGTTCAAGCACTCAGCTGCAAACCCAGTGGTCAGTGGTTTGAAATCACCAGCAGGTTCTCAGGAGAAAGGTACGGCAGTCTTCTTCCATCCATTTTACAGCCTTGGAAATCATCTGGGGACTGTTTTACTCTCCCTATCGGCTTGCTATGAGTCACAACCAACTTAACAGCAATAGCTTTGGTTTTGGTTTAGGGAACCACAGAAGAAGCTTGCTTATTTTTATTCTTTTTGACCCTATTTTATCCAGCTTCCGAGAGTAAAGCATTATCCAAGTGTCAGGGAGAAATTTTTGTGTTTGTTAAGAACATGAAGGATCCCTGGTGGTGCCGTAGGTTAAGTGTTGGGCTGCTAACCACAGGGTCAGTGGTTCAATCCATCAGCAACTCCACATGACAAAGATGAGGCTGCCCGTGCATGTAAAGATTCAGTCTCAGAAATCCTGAGGAGCAGTTCTACTCTATCCTATTTGTTAAGTGTCATCAAGTTGGTTTCAACTCATAGTGACCCTGTATAGAGTTTCCAAGGAGCAGCTGCTAGGTCTGAACCACCAACCTTGCAGTTAGTAGTCCAGTACTTACCTGACAGTGCCACACCAGGGTTGTTATGTATCTGAATCAACTCGATGATTGTTGTTGTTATTAACTGCCATGGAGTTGGTTCTGACTCAAAGCGATATTGTATAGGGTTTCCAAGGAGCACCTGGTGAGTTTGAACTGCCGACTTTGCAGTTCAAACTGACCTTGTAATCTAGTGCTTACATTACAGTGCCACACCAAGACTCCAGCTTAATGATAGTGAGTGAGTAAGAACATGCAAACATCAGGTCACACTGCAAAACAAAGACCCTAGGCTGCCTATCTAGGAGTCTGGTAGTTAAGAGATGCTTGATCTCTAGAAATTATTTTAGCCATCATAATCTTCTTTAGGATGCTTTAAAAAATCTAAATAGAGATGTATTTTGCTGCTAGTTTTTTCTTTCTTTTTTTTTCTTCCTCACAAGTAGTTACCATAATTGTTTTAGTCGGCAATTAAGGTAAATTTTTTGGTTGTTGTTTAAAAGAAAAGCAAAAGCAAAAAAAAACACAAAAACAAACATGAGAATTTAATTATGGAAGCAAACTTCAGCAGTGTTTCAGGTTTGTTGTTGTTATGTGCTGTGGAGTCG